CATATCAGCTACCAATATCTGCCTGACTGCTTTGGAGAATACTGATTATGTGTCCCCGCCTGGGTCAAATTCATGGCTACCATTTGCGGCCTCTCCTATTGTCTTATTAGACTCTCTCACCTCTCATAGTTGATCTAAGCCAAATATCACCACCACACCTTACCCTATCTCTCTCTCTCTTCAGTATCACTTCAGCTTTAATTACTTAGGAATGTGCTTTATGGGCACACTGGACTCCACTGACTGCCATAATTCCTAAACCCTTAGTACTTCTACTTCCCAGCTGCTATGGCCAAACACTCACAATGCTTCCATTCTCTGTGGCACTAAGACTTATCACTGCCTACTTGCTGTGGTGCCTGGGACTTGTGCCCTGGAGTTCCTTTTTCCAAATCTAAGTGTGGTATCTGATGAAGAACTTGCCAATTTCCATCACAGGGTTTATAGCAGTACAGATGACAAATAAGCAGTTTAGGTCCTACCCGTTTTGCAGTTCTGGGTGTTGATATCCTGGCTTCTCCCTCTCCCCAGGTCCTGGGTAAGCTGGCCCTGTTTGCTCTTCTCCAGGCTACCTTCCCTCACCCTGGGATCCATCTTAGACAGGTGATCACTCCTCACTGACAGCTGTCAAAGGTTGCATGGCTATAGAAGGGCTCTGCATGCAGAAACCAGCATGGCTGGCTCATGCATGTGTTAGGTGACTGCATAAGGGTTCTGCATGCAGAAACCATGTGAAACTGAGGCTTTGTGGAGCCGGGCCAATGGCAGCCCCACAACTCCAGTTTCAATGGCCCCAACTGCTGAGCCTCGTTCTAAACCACTCCTGTTCCCTATATAAGCAAGCACCTCCTGTCTGTTCTCTCTCTTTTTCCATTTCTGCTCCTGATTGGTTAACACCTACCCCTCTCTTTGCTCCCTCTCCCAGTAAACTCCATGTGGGTTTGTTGAGTTTGGTGAATTGTGTTTCATTGCCTGGAGCTGCAGTAAAGAACACCACTAGGTCTACCACTGGTGTGTGTCACCAATGTAGCTGTGGACTACCATCCATTTTTTTCCCAGTGCATCCAGCATCTCTAATGGGTGGCTCAAACCATCCTCACACTCCAGGGCCAAATAAGTCTAGATCAATGCCATCAGTGCTACAAGGATGATATTTACTAACATCAGAGAGAGGTGGCCTTTGTCTCTTCCTCGGGAAGTAATGTTGCTTCCACCAGTCAGACATAGTAAAAGACAAGATCTGACAACTCCAGAAACATCTCCAAAAAAAACCATAAGAAATAGCTTGATGCCTCTGGCCAGTGAGTGGCTTGCTGACAATCTATTATGGTACTGGATACTAACCTTAACCCTCTTTTTCCTCCTTTTCTTAATCCTACTAGGGAAACACTTCCTTACAAACTTCTTATCTAGATTCCTTCAACAACAGATTCAAAAGATTTCTAACCAGACTTTTAATCAGTTGCTAATACAGGATTACAGGCCCCTAGCAACAGAGTGAGAGGCCAGCAACTCCAAATTAGAGTGAAGATCAAGTTCACCCAAAGACTTCAATGCCCCTATCCAACAGGAAGTAGTCCAGTGATAACATTGCCCCTCTTTCCGATAACCTGTTTATCAATAATAAACAAAAAAGCGGGAAAATGTAACCCAGTTGAGGCACAGGAGGGGCCTGGCCCCTCCCCTGAGGTCCTCCAAATGCTAGGTTCCATCCACAGAACACTAACTGTCCTAATGGCTATACTGAGCCCCCAACCTACAGAGTAAAAAGCCCAAGCTCTGGACATGAAATCCCACCAATTCCCATCCTGGAAAGCTTTACCCTGAAAAGGCATGATATCCCAAACCTCCCCGTCCCAAGAAATGCTATATAAGCCCTGCCTTCTGCTCAGTTCTCTGCTTCCCCCTCCCCCGCCCCAGCTGAGGCAGTGACCCTCCTGGGTTCTTCCCTCCCCATAAATCTCTTGGGTGAGGTTTGCTGTGTGCTGTGAGTTTGTGGTATTCCTTGGTTCCTGACTGTAAGGGTACCTTTCCCTCTGAGCTGTAAAGCTTATATTCTTCGTCCTTACAACCTATCTATTCTCACTATTCTGGGCTTTTTCTAGTCTCCGACTCTGGCTACTATCCCTTCTTCCCATAGATAGGCCTGGCCATGTCCACTCTGCTAGGCAGATTCAGTTTACTTTTCCCTCCCTTCCTCCCTCTCCCTCTTTCTCTCCTGTTCTGCTTTGGAATCTGAAAGATGCCTCTGGATATTTTCCTCTCTTCTGCACAATAAGAAACAAACAAATAGAAAACCAAACCAAACAAAACAGACAAATGGCAGTTCCTTTACCTGCGGTGAAAGATTCATATATTCTAGTTTTCTGCATTACATAAATGTGAGGGGGCACAAAAAAAAAAAAAAAAAAAACTGCTAACTTTACTGCTCTACAACATGGCTAAGGTTTGTATTGTAGATATGAGAGAGAGAACAGCCTGAGGCATCTGGAAGAATCCATTATATATTGCAGGCTGACCTTTAACTGGCAATCCTTTATCTCAACCTCATATATATATATATATATATATATATATATATATATATATATATCACAGGCATGATCTACTCCATGCTGCCTTTTAAGACAGACTCCAAATTCATATATTCTCCCTGTGCTATTCCTTCACCATCAACTACTATAAAGAAGAACACATGTGCTTAGTGTTCATGGAAGTAACTTCCAAATGCAGATTATATTGAATTTATAAAAATCATTTTAAAAACTTAAAAGCTCAAGAACTAGGCTTAACAACAAATCCTTCTTTTAAAGTCGTCACATAAAAGCATGTGCTACCTGAAAGGAGTAAATTCAACTAAAGCGAGGCTTTGTTTCACTAGTTCTCCAGTCACTGGCATTTAAAGACGGAGTTTATTACAGAAGTTAGTTATACGAAAGTACCGTATTAGTCAGGGTTCTCTAGACTCATGGAGCTTAGGGAATGAATCTCCCTCTCTCTCTCTCTCTCTCTCTCTCTCTCTCTCTCTCTCTCTCTCTCTCACACACACACACACACACACACACACACACACAGGATTTATTGGAATGACTTACAGGCTCATGGAACTTAGGGAATGAATCTCTCACACACACACATACATACATACATACATATATGGGATTTATTGGAATGACTTACAGGCCTGCAGTCCAGCTAATCCAACAATGGCTAGCTGTGAATGCAAAGTCCACAAGGTCTCAGCTGGTTTTCTGTACATGCTGGATTCCCAAAGAACTAGGCTCCAATGCCGGTGAAGGCATGGATGTTCTAGTAAAGTGAAGGCAAGTGAGCAAAGAGCAAAAGCTTATTTTTTCCATGTCCTTATATAGACTTCCAGACGACATACCTTTAATATGGCATGGACCATACTAAAGGTATGTCTTCCCACCTCAAGATCTGGATTAAAAGCATGTGTCTTCCTGACTCAATATACAGATCAAAGGTGAGTGTCTTCCATCTCAAAACGTCCTGGCTAGAAGTTGATTCATTCACTTCAAACCAGGCAGAAAATCTCTCAAAGGTGTGCCCTCCATTTCTGGACATTCCAGATGTAGTCATGTTCACAACAAAGAACAGCCACAACAAGTACTGAGTAGGAACTATGGCAGACATACAACTACACTTCTTGTATTTTCTTTCTTTCTTTTCCTGTTTATCTTCCAGTGAGGATGTGCTGACACTTGGATCCTCTTCAACTCCTCTAGCTACTTATATAAATCATTATCATTATCTTTCACTCCATCAATGGGGAAATGAAGCTTTGCCAATTCAAGTACTAATTTAATTCTTATCAGTGAGTAAGTGGGGAGCTGGAATGTAAAGCCAGATAGTCTAACTCTGAAGCCCTTGCTGTCATCAGCTACAACACTACAGCCTTTTTGAGGATGGGTTTGTTGAGACCTGAATGATGAGAAGGTAAATCATTGGTGGGAGAAAATACATACAGCTCTCAAGTGAACAATGTGTCCAAATTATAGGAGGCCAGTACAGTTCCCAGGAGACAGAGATGCAGAAAGCAGATAAAGGAGCTATGATTCTATAATCAAGAACCACTAACTTCAAACATGGCAGGGTTTTGATGTTATTTCCGTTCTTAGAATATATTTCTAACTCAAAAGTGTCAGGTAAGTTGAAGGAAGGTTATCTGTTAGAACATTTACAGTGTAGCTGTTATTGTGGAAAGCACCATTCTTAAAACCCAAGACAACACACAAGGAAACATGAGGTTTAATACCAAGCTGATTCACTAGCTCAGGGACATGGCAAAAAGCAATACTGTCCACTACTCTGGAGTGATTGCTAGAATGGTGATCAGAACCCTGGCTCTCTGGTGCACACTATTTTTCCTAGTATGCAAATTATAGAACGCTTACCTTTAAGTACATATCAAACAAACAATAATCCCCATCCCTTGACTTAATTTTCTCCCATAGCCACCACTGTATTTTTCTACTCCTTATTTAGGAAAACATGTTTGACAATACTCTGGTACCATCACCTCCAGTCATCACGAACCTAGTCATGTTCCTCTTTTGCCCTACTCAAGCTGCCCTGGCCCGTTAAAAACACGGAGAAGGAGACAGTGTAATACAATGCTTAATTACATAAGATGCAAAGCAGAAACCTTAATTATTAAATTTGCGGATATGGGCATTAGTACTTGCTTACTTAATCTATTCATCCTCACATTGTTTACTGTAGCTTTTTATGTGTGCTGTCACATTGTGAACGTTCTTCAGATCTACACCTCACTCACGACTTTAACAGGCAAGATGTTACATCAAGACAGCACTGGATGTGTGTAAGCACACTCAAAAACCCCAAGTACCTGCAGAAGACTCGAGGGGGCGTGTCATGTCACGAAAATGTTAACTGAAACACGTAAGGATCAAACTAAAGCCATCTTAAAGAGTACAGAACTAAAGAGCAGTGGTTGTGGAGATTAGATTTCTGCTGACCTTTCCAGATCCTTCCTGGAAGCCTTAGGAAGTGGACAGGCTGACTCAGCGTGACACCTATATACCATCAAATGCAGAATCCATATTCGGCTGCAGAGACCAACTTTTCCCTGGACTCTAATTCGCCCACGACTTTGCTCAAGAGGATGTTCACAGAAAAGCCGCCAACATCCATCTACAACAGCAACCAAGGAAACAGAAATGCACCGATGTGACTTTGCAGGAAGTCTGAGACCTGCACGGGGCCTTGAAGGTGCGCGGAACCGTGCCCTGAACCCTTGCCGGGCTCGGCTGAACGTAGAAGACCGTGCACCCAGGAGGCTCTAGGCCGGCTGGGGATAAACAAGGAGGTACGGGCAGTGGGCAGTGTCGTTCTGCAAATGGCAGGGAAGAGTCACCTCCGAGCCGCCGCACAGCACAACTCCCGGGGCAGCAGCCTCCTCACTGCGGACCCTCCCTCTCCGTAGCGTCCTGGGCTGCACCCAAGCCGAGGGTCGCAGACCCCCGTGCCCGAGAAGGAGGTCCCACCGCCCACTTCCCCCTCAGACCCCGCAGCTCACCCACCTGCAAGGGCAGTGCGCGAAGTCTCCGCCCAGGTCCAGCCTGCAGAGCTCAGGCTGCGGTTGGCTTGTGCGAGTGTCCCGTCAGCTGCCTCCGCTGTGAGTGGCGGGACGGTTCCGGGCGGCCTTGGTCCCGCCCCCTCCGAGGCTCCGGAGCCCGGCTCGCCAGACGTCACGCGGTGCCGCAGAGCTGAGCCGACTCTCTCCACCTCCTTCCCATCCCCCGCCTCCCCGGCAGCCCCGCCCTCTCCCGGAGGGGCCGGGGGCGGGGCAGCACCGAGGCCACGCCCCCACGCAAGCGTAACCGGAGGGGGGCGTGGCGCCTGGGAGACGTCACAACCAGGCGCCCGACACCTTGGTGCCGACGCCTGAAAGGGGGTGGAGCCCGGCGACTTTGCGCAGACTCCGGCCCAGGGGGGCGTGGCCAGGGCAGCGTCCGCGCCATCGGTCCTGAAGAGCGGCCGACCCTGCAGGGCGCATGGTGTTCCCCGCCAAGAGGCTGTGCATGGTGCCATCCATGGAGGGCGTTCGCTGGGCCTTCTCTTGCGGCACCTGGCAGCCCAGTCGAGCCGAATGGCTGCTGGCGGTGCGGTCGATCCAGCCCGAGGAGAAGGAACGCATCGGCCAGTTCGTGTTTGCCCGCGACGCCAAGGCGGCCCTGGTACTCGCGGCCTGCGGGTTTGGGGAGGAGGGCCGGGCGGTGGAGCCCCACGCGCGCTCTCGGGTGGCCGGCAGGTGTTCTGGCGACCTGCTTCCGCCCTTCTTTCTTTCCTCTGAGACTTGGGGCTCTCACAACCAACGCCTCCCCCGTGAGGTTGCCTCTGGAGGCCCTTTCACATAAAACTGGAGGCAGGGCCGACGTAGTAATCGGGTTTAGTAATGAGTATGCTTTAAAAGTCAAAAGCTTAGAAGTTACAAAATATACTTTGTAAGCAGTGCGTTTATGCAGATGGTGGAGAACTGTATGTACCGTATATTTAACGTGTCTTAACAGGCTGGTCGTCTGATGATAAGGAAATTGGTTGCAGAGAAATTGAATATCCCTTGGAATCATATTCGTCTGCAAAGAACTTCAAAGGGAAAGCCAATTCTTGCAAAAGACTCGTTGAATCCTTATCCCAATTTCAACTTTAACATCTCTCATCAAGGGGACTATGCAGTTCTTGCTGCAGAACCTGAGCTACAAGTTGGCATTGATATAATGAAGACTAGTTTTCCAGGTAAGGTTTATTATTATGACACAGTATTTAAGTGTGTTTTGTCTCAAGTCTTAACTATTAGGCAGTTGTAAATGAGACTTATAAACACAGACACTTGCCATTCTTTATCTGACAAAGCATCTAACTAAAAAAAAATGTATTTCCTTTAACATTAACCCATAGTAAAAGATACAGGAACTGTGCCATTTTAACCTCCTTCAGCTCCATTTTCTCTATAGGTATGTACATAAATTTCCCTTGGTACTTTTTCTTTTTTCTTGTTGTTTCAGAATACCGATGTTGGTTTACAAAGAAGAGTTTATTTAGGCTCATTATTATGGGTTCAGGGAAATCCTTGAAGACTGGGTTAAAAATTAATTTATTCACGAAGGCCTTACAATATTGTATTGGCAACTAAATTTCAACATGAATTTTGAAGGTAACACACCTTACTGAAGCACAGCTCCAGAATGACCTTGTATTATGGAAAGCTTATTCTGAATTAACTGCTATTGCAGAAGAGTCAGGATGATAGTGGAGAATAGTCCACTTGGGTTTGTACCTCTGCAGAATCTTCACATGAGTTTTTCCTGTAACTAGAAGTTAGTGGAGAGGCCATTAGCACTTAGAAGGAAGACTAGAAATAGCCTGCCGGGAAATACACAGAATTTACAACCAGTTTTGTGCAATGTTGACTGTGGTCAATACTGAATAAGTCATTACCAATTTAAGTTTTTAATGGTTGGAAGTTAGTTGAGCAAAAGTTAAAGAATCTGTCTCTTGTTAATGCTTTATTAAATCTTTGACCCCTAGAAATTTTGATTGAAGCCGTTTCCTTCCCTTTTTATAGTTCCATTGGTTCAAAGCTTAAATGCTCAGTAACACAAAAGAAGAGATACATTCAGTTGGGACTGGTGTCATTACCATCCCACTAGTTTTCAAATTGTGATTGGATGCATCACCCTTTGTTAGTGAAGATTGGAAGCAACAGTTGCTTCATTGGCAGTTTAGTAGACCAGAGTAAGTAAGTGCAGCAGTTGACCAAGGAATGTTCTTCAGTCTTTCTGAAAGATGGAAGGTGTAGTGTTGAATTGAAAGGGCAAACTACTCAGTACCAAGCATTATTAACTCTTGAGACATAGTTGCCATAGAGGGTTTCTATTAGCATATCAAAAGAGAATTCTTTCCACATTTTGTGTCCTTAAGAAATGTCAGGTAGGAATGTGTGGGGGGGTCTTTTCCGTATTACTTATGTTGGCTTAAGTATAACTCATTTCCCAAATAAGATTTAGGCTTTGAGATCCCAATCCTAGCACAAGTTGCTGGTAGTGTAAATTAGTAATGCTTGGGGAATGTTGTTTTCCTGCTTAAGTTTTCCCTCATTTCCTAATTTTCATTTGCTGTTAAAGATGTTTGAGTTTCAGGTATAAAGAAGATAGTTTTGTGACTTGTTCAGTTAGCAGTATTTACAAAATAAGCATGATCAGTATAAAGAATTAATATTTAAGTTTGGGAAGAAGTAAGAATTCTATTTGCATGGTTTTCATTTTCATGTATGTATTTTTATAATAATTTAAAATATTTTGCGAAGCAATTCTAATTTTAATCAGTTCAAGAAATTTAAAAATTACTTTGGCTAGTTGTACTGATACTCATCTGTATTCCTTGTACTCTGGAGGTAGAAGCAGACTGATCATGAGTTCAAGTCCATCCTGAACTACATTGCAAGACTGGGTCTGACACACACCCCAAAATAGGCTTTGTTATGTAACTGATCTCTAGCGAAGATACTGCATTATAAATGTAAACTAAGTGTAGTTATTACAAAAGCATCATAGAGCCTGTTTCTTGTCTCCTCCCACACCTTTTCTTCCTCAGTATTATTATAAATTCCTAACTGGTTCTCCAGACAGAGCTAAGATATGGACACCAGTATATTACACATATAATAGAATTCAAACTCCTGAACATAATCCTGCTATCTTGTTCTTTTCTGCTTTCTATTCTCTGGCATTTCTCTTTTTTTTTTTTTTTTTCCCTAACTGTTTTCTTTAATCCTTGTTTTCTGTCCATACTGGTCTTTTGTTGCCGTTGGTTAGACATTGCTCAACTCTTTATTAACTCCACCCTCCCTAAATAACTATCATAGTCTTTGAGAAGAATGAATAATTTTATTTTTTTTAGGTTTTGTATATGTGTACATATGGTGTCAGTAATATGTATGGAGGTCAGAAGACAACCCGTAGCAGATGTGATTCTTGGAAATGCCATCCATCTCCTTGAAACAGGGTCTTTTTAACCTCTAGCTCACCAATTAAGTGAGATTGGTTAGCCAATGTGAGCCTTAGGGTTCCTCCTTTCTCCTCCGCAGCACTGGTATTCCAAGCTATATAACCACACTTAGCATTTTCACCTGGGTTCTAGTGCCTGAACTCAGTTTTCCATGTTTTCATGGCACATACTTTGTTAATTGAGCTTTCTTCACAGCTGAATGGTGAATTAATTTGAACTGAGATGCTATTGTAATACATGTGTACTGGAGACCTTGTTTTAGAATGATGTAGGTGGGCTTTGAGGTTCCGGTACTAATTAGAATGTTTTCTGATAGGCCTAGAATAATATTAGGTAAATATATTAGTTGTGGATGATTTTGTTAGGGATTATTATGTTTAAAACGAACTTTTCAGTTGTGTGGTTTTTGATTATAGAACAAGTTAGTAACTGGCATTCTGTAATAACTAAACTCTTAAGAAGAATCAAGGTTTCTAAACTTAACTGAGAGTTCACGTATTTTTCTAGTCTTGGATTCTTACATGTGTTCTTAATATTCCATAGGATGATTAAATAGATTGTAGTAGATATCAGGCTATACAAGTGGTATTAAGAGTTTGCCTGTGTGTATGCCCAATAATGCTGATATTTTGAGGGATGCATTTGTTTTTCTACTGGGATTTTCCAATAGTTTTTTTTTTTTTTTTTCTAATTTCCTTTGTAAAGTGGAATAAAATAGAATATTTGGCTAGTGTGCTTTTCCCCATAACCACAGGGTGGTGCTGCTGTCCATTAGTTGAGCTTGGAACCACCTTTGCTTACTGTTGATTCTGTGCTTTAATATACAGCACATTTTTTCAGCCATAGGTAATGAATTACATGACTGCTTGACTGTCTTTTATGTTGTTTTTAGACATACATTTATTTATTCCTTTGATTTTCTTGTACTTAGGTACAAAATTAAAGTTCTTGTAAGTTATAAGTGGAAAACTTTAGACAAAATGACACAGTAGGGTGTAAAAGGCTTTTATTTATGAGTTTTGTGTATTACTGCCATTAAAACTAAAGTTTCATACAAAGAATGAAATATTCTAAATCTAAGTTAAGATGTTCCTCCTGTTTATTTTATATATGCTGCTTAAGCGAGAGTCTGTAAAAAACAACAGTTTATTTTTTTAATTTTGTGGATGTGGGTGTGTATTTGGAGGCCAAAGGTTATCATTAGGTATGTTCTGTCGTTTTTCATTTTTGATGTCGTCTCTCACTAAACTTGAATACAGTGAGCTTCTGGGATCCAACTTCTTACCCACCCCAAAACCCCCCAACCTGATAAGTTCCCCTCTCCACCAGCACTGGGCTTACAGATACAGGTGGCTGCTATACTTGCCTATTTCTACAGGGGCCAAGGATCCAAGCTCAGGTCCCATGCTTGCTCAGCAAGTTTCCCATTGAGCCATCTCCTCAGCTCCTTAAATTTTGAAAAGAATTTCTCTATGATGTTATTTATCAAGCTAAAGTAGATTCTAGAAGCAGTGAATGAACCAGCTTTTGTTGAAATGCTCCAGTAATTCTCAGTGAAGTGAAATGAGCTTTAGATCACTAAAAAGATCCATCCAAGTCCCCAGATGGTAATATTCTCCTTATAGGACTTCCAAGATCCCGTTATAATATTTCAGAGCTTGAAAGTGAATGAGAATTGTTGCAATCTCAAGTACCAAGAACCTGCTTTGAAGACTTGACTTTTGAAGTGGGAGCTTAGGGGAATCATAAACATCTTTGCACAGGAACTTGATTTGTAATGTTTCCTTCCCTGACTCACTATGGAAGCAGTAAATTGTTACTGCAGAAATTCTAAAACATATAAAGGAAGACTGTATTTTAATTTGTTCCAGGCATTCTGCTTCTAACATTTGAGAGTATACATGTATATATTGATTTTTGTTTTCTCAGTATTAACTTTAAATAAACAGTGTGTGTTGTTTATCTTCTAGTTACAAACTTTTATAAAATAGTTACTTTTTCTCCTCAGTAATATAGTAGGGTGAAAATTTAAAACCAAATATAGCATGGGAATTTTGTTTTGGTTTTTCTGAGGAGTATTTTGTCATGTATAAGATATTTTCTTTTAGTTGTTTAATCTTTATAACAAATTTGACTGCCAGGTATTATTAAATTTTTTTGGGACATCTTTTGAAAACAAATGGTTTTCTGCCCAATTATTTAATTTACAAATTCACAAATTCCTGATAAGCTACTTCTACATTAACCCATGCTTGTCATGGTGAGTTATCCAAATTGTGGATATGCTGATATTTTATAGAAGAGTACATCTTTTATTGTTTTTGTTTGTTTACAGTAATAGAAATTCAGTTCAGGGCCTTGCACATGCTAGGCAAGCTCTCTACCACCAAACTACATTGCAGCCCTCATTTAGGATGTTTTCTATATAAATTGACTTTTGTTTTTGTGTGGTCTTCAATAACTTCAGTGATGCAACAGCTTTAAAATTTTATTTTCCTTTTGAAGAGAGTAACTTTTTAATTCTGTATTCTCTGATTTTTATAGGTCGTGGTTCAATTCCAGAATTCTTTCATATTATGAAAAGAAAGTTTACCAACAAGGAGTGGGAAACAATCAGAAGTTTTAATAATGAATGGACTCAGCTGGATATGTTTTACCGTCATTGGGTATAATTTCTTTGTAGTTTTTACAGTAGTAATTTCATTGTCTTTGCTAGAAATAAGAGTGAAGGACTTGGTTTCCTGATAATGTCATACAATGCTTGATATAAATGGGCAAATTCCTTGAGAACTTTTAAAAATTTTATATATATATATATATGTATATATATATATACACACATGTATATGTACATATATGATTATGTCATTTTTTGAGAACTTTTAGCCTATACTGTATCATTAGAAGGTGACTTATTTTTCAAACTAACATTTTGTTTATTATTTATGGTAATGTGTTCTATATTAAACTCATACACATGAGCCTCATTTAACAGAAGATGTCATTTTAGTGTCTTTATAATTTAGTTAATTTTCATAGCAACCTGTTGAGACTGGCACTGTTTGGTCATTACTGTTTACATTTGAGAAATCTTAAATGATTTACCTCAATATTACTAGCATATTTGTTTCCAGTGCTATTGTAATGAACAAAGTAAAGGGGGGAAAAGTTATACAAATAGTTAGAAATCCAAATTATATTTGGTATTATAGCTATAAATGTTATGAAAAGAGAAAAATATCCCTTTCTCTTGTAGGCACTGAAAGAAAGCTTTATAAAAGCCATTGGTGTTGGATTGGGATTTGACATGCAGCGACTTGAATTTGATATATCTCCTTTAAACTTGGATATAGGCCAGGTTTATAAGGAAACACGTTTGCTTTTGGATGGGGAAGAAGAAAAAGAATGGGCTTTTGAGGTAAAAATTTATTGTAATTATTATAGCTAAGACTTTGAATGCATATATATATATGTATATGTAATCTAGGATGTTCCTGAACTTTACAAGAGTGTCAACAGTAACTAGTATATGTGTTATAATTTGAATAGATTCGAAGTGCATAACTTAATTAAATATAATCATTAAAACTCTTCAGTCCTAGCAGGGCATAGTATTGCTTGCCTTTAATCTTATCATTTGGGATCTGTGTGAATTGGAGGCCAGCCTGGTATGTAGCCCATGTAACTACATGGTGAGATTGTGTCTCAAAAAAAAAAAAAAAAAAATTATTTCAAAAAGAGTATCATTGTATTAATAAAAGGGTTTGAGACTTGTGCTTTAAAATGTTATTGTCTGTCCTAGTTTGGGTTACTGTTGCTATGATGAAACACCATGACCAAAAGCCAGTTGGAAAGAGAAGGTTTGCTTACATTTCCTTACACTTCATGTCTTAGCTTAGTCCACTACTAAAAGAAGTCAGGACAGGGACTCAAGAAAGGTTGGAACCTGGAGGCTAATGCAGAGGGCATGTAGGGCTGCTACTTACTTTGTTGCTCAGCCTGCTTTTTTTTGTCATTTTGAAAACAATCTTATTTTACATATCAATCCCTATTCCCTCTCCCTTCCATCCTCCTGGTTACCCCACATCCTCCCCATCTCCCCACTCCACCTATCCTGTCTACTCCTCAGAGAGGGTGAGACCTCCCTTGGGGAATCAACAAAGTCTCAAATCCATCCATCCATCCATCGGTTGAGGATGGACAGAGGCCCTCCCCTCTGTATCTAGGTTGGGCAAGGTATCCCTCCATGCTGGTTCCCCTGTTAGTGACCCCACAAACTGCTCAAGCTACCCAACCGTTACCCACTTTCAGAGGGCCTAGTTTGGTATTATGCAGGTTCCCAAGCTGTCAGTCCAGAGTCAGTGAGTTCCCACTTGCAAGGCTCAGCTGCTTCTATGGGTTCCCCATTAAGGTCTGGACCCCTTTTCTCATATTATCACTCCTCTCTCTCTATGGCTGGACTCTAGGAGTTTGGCTCAGTGCTTAGGTGTGGATCTCTGCATCTGCTTCCATCAGTTATTGGATAAGGTCCTATGATAACAATGAAGGTAGTCATCAATCTAATTACAGGGAAGGGCAGTTAAGGTGTGCTTTCCACTATTGTTTAGGTTCTTAGCTGGGGTCATCCTTGTGGATTCCTGGGAATTTCCCTATTCCCAGGTTTCTCTTTAACCCCATAATGGTGCCCTCTATCAAGGTATCTCTTTCCTTGCTCTCCCTCTGTCCTTTCTCCAACTCAACCTTCCTGATCCCTCACATTTTCTACCCTGCTTCCCTTCTCCCCTACCTGCTCTCCTGTTACCCTCCCCTCTCCCTCCATGTTCCCAATTTACTCAAGAGCTCTTGTCTTTCCCCTTTCTGGGTTGGGGCTGCCATGTTTGTCTCTCTTAGGGTCCTCCTTGTTTACTGCCCTCTCTGGGGTTGTGAACTGTAGGCTGCTTATCGCTTGCTTTATTTCTAATATCCACTTAGGAGTACATACCGTACATAACATGTATGTCTTTCTGGGTCTGGGTTACCTCACTCAGCATGGTTTGTTCTAGTTCCATCTATTTGCCTACAGATGTCAAGATGTCATTGGTTTTTATTTGTTTGTTTTTTTATTTGTTTTTTGTTTTCTTTACCACTGAGTAGTACTCTGTTATGTAAATATATCACATTTTCTTTATCCATTCTTCAATTGAGGGGCATCAGTGTTGTTTCTAGGTTCTGGCTATTACAAATAATCCAGCTATGAATATAGTTTAGCAAATGTGTTTGTGGTGTGAGTGTGCATCCTTTGGTTATATGCCGCAAGAGTGTAATAACACCCAGAAATAGCTGGGTCTTGAGGTAGATTATCAGTTTTTTGATAAACCACCATATTGATTTCCAAAAGATCAGCCTGCTTTCTTAAAGAACCCAGGACCACTCTAGTCCAGGGAAGACACTACCCAGAATGGGCTGGCCCCTCTTGCATGAATCATTAGTTAAGAAAATGACCCACAGGCTTGCTCAATCTTATGGATGCATTTTCTCAATTGAGGTGCTCTCTGTTCTGATGACTCTAGCTTGTGTCAAGTTGACAAAACTAGTCAGCATACTGTCCTGATAAGAGTTTAACAAGGCATGTGCTTTGTTAGTGAATAAAATAGTTAATAGTTAATCCTGCTTATATATTACATGGCTCCAAGAGGATGTGTGTGTGTGTGTGTGTGTGTGTGTGTGTGTGTCTGTCTGTCTGTCTGTCTGTCTGTCTGTGGAGAGGTGTATAGACAGTAAATGAGATTTAGAAATGTAAAGTCTGGATTTATATTTTATAATCTGCATTCATTTGTCTTTTATTTTTTTTAGGAAAGCAAAATTGATGAGCACCATTTTGTTGCAGTGGCTGTTAGGAAACCTGATGGATCTAGACATCAAAGTGTAAGATTTTAGGATTTTTTTTTACAAATCTTTCTAAAAAATAAGAATGAATCAATGATGTTTTTGCTGTTATTGATGAAAATTCTAATTTACCTTGCATTAGGTTAGGGAATCAGACATCTTGATAGGTTTTTATATGTTGTGTGAGTTTATAGTTTGTTTATAAGGTTTTATATTATCAAATCTTATAATTATCTGGTATTTCACACACACACACACACACACACACACACACACACACCACACACACAAATTTACAAAAGCCTGTTATCTTTTTTATATTTAAATACCCTTAAATGTTGCAAGGAAGATTTTGATAGTACTGTCAAATTTTCAATAGAAGTTAACTATCATTACTCTCTTTGTTATAACAGAAATTTATTTGCTGATGAATTGGGGCTGTCTTGAATATAATGGGCACAAGGTTGAACACTGGTGAATACTGGAACCACCTTGCAAATTAAACTTATTTCTAGTGTGATAAATTGTTGCCAGAGTTTATGTTGCCAGTGAGAGTTTGTATCATATTGGAATTTAGGTTGGTCTCACTTCTGTTCTTTCAGTCATAATCTTTTGTGTTTCTAATGTTACCTAGTGAGGGAAAGCACTAAGAGACTCAGTCTACATATAGCTATAGTTCTCTGTGAGTAGTTTCTTCATGGAATACTAGTATCAAAATTTATGTCTTTGTTTTTAGGAAACAAAATATGTATATTTATGTGCACTACACCCCTTCATTATTACTTCTAGAAGAATAACATAGGACATTGAACATTTCTTTTATAAATACTGAGTTTTGTCTTAGACTGTCTTCCTAAGAAGATTAGCATGTTAGAATTGATACTTGGAGATGGTATGACTTGGGTTATTCCTATTCCTCTCAAGTCTCAGCTTCATGCTCCCTTTGAGTACCTGTTTTGGGTACATCTTTATAGTTCTTAATTTTAATAATATACTCTGAAAATGCATTTTGATCATACTGATTTATTACCTCTAATTCTCCCTGTGGTCTCTACTTTGCCTCTTTCCCAGCTTCAAGGGCTTTAGGGTAGGTAGGGTTTGTCTTGTTATTGATATTTATAACCTCAAGTCTAATTAGTGCTGCTCATGTACATGGGTACTGGCAGCCATATCCCCAAAGTAGATTGACTACCTTTCCAGTAAGGCTGAGGTATCAGAGGCCCTTCTCTTACTCATATAGGAATTTGATGTGCTTGATTTTGTGTAGGTTTTATGAGTTGATGTCTGCAATACCATGCCATGTCCAGAAAGTCTGCATGTCCCAGCTTAGACATTTTTTTTTCTACCCACTCTTCCTTTATATTCCCTGAGCTTTGGATGAAGGGAGGTGATTATAGATGTTTCCATTCACAGCTGAACACTCAACTGTTATTTATGTTTGGCACATGACCAGTTATGAGTCTATTGGTTAACTGTCACCCATTACAGAAAGAACTCCCCTGACCAAAAGGAAGATCAACACAAATCTATGGGTATTAAAGCAAAGAAGGCAATTTTGTTACATGACAGTTAAACATAATAACAACTGTAGGTTCCTCCCCTAGGGCCTGTGCTATCCCCAGTCATGAAATTTTGACCCAGTTTTACAATACTAGGTGTGAAATTCCTTCTGTGGAGCAGGCCCCATGTCTAATAAGAAAATGGTTGGTTACTACCATAATTGACATGCCACTGTTACACACCATTGGTTAAATGTTTGTGCTTTCAGTACTTCTGCTTCTTTGAATAATAAAGTCTACTGCAGCAGTACCTAGTGGGAAGCTAGCAGTATCTAGTGGGAAAACTAGGTTCTAAGTTCAAGTTTGCCTGTTAACTTCTATGGTCACTTGTGCAAATGGTCTTTCTGAGCCTCAATTTCCCATTGTAAAATTGAGATGACAATACTATAGCACAGCCTAGAAACCATATAAATAAGTACTGAATTTTATTTAAGTAGTGTATAAAGTTCAAATATTGTTTAATGTGAGTTGATTAGCCCTCATCTGAAAGTGTTTTGGATTTCAGGTTTTGTTGAGATCCAATTTAAACATGGACTGCATTTTTTTTTTTTATTTCATATATACCATCTACATACAGCCAGAAGGTAATTCTATACCATATTTTTAGTGTCTCTGAGTTTTGACTGGCTTGTCACATGGAACTTGCGTGCCTTGTTGGTAATCAGTAATAATTTCTTGAGTGAGTTTCACCCATATGTAGTTGGAGCATATTTATCATAGTAGGCTCACACTTCAGAAGTGTTTCAAAAATTTTGCCTGTGGCCCACCTGTGCTTGCTGAAATTAATAGATCTTGAGGTTCCTTATATGTATGTATATTGAATTGACCCCTCTACATATGGGATTTCATTAAGTCTGTGTTTTAAGTAAATACTACAGATGGTGTCTATATGTACCTTGAAAAACATGTTTATATTTCACTTTTTAAATTGATAACAGTAGTATAAGGAGTTAAAATACAATACTGTAGAAATTTTACTAAGCCTTAATTTAATACTAATGAATTGGAATTATTTTATAGTTATAAAGGTTATATAGTTATATGATTAATATGGAGTGTAATAAAAGCAAGACAGTCTATTTTTATTTATTTTTTTCTCTTAGGTTTCATATCAAGATGATTCTAAACCATCTCAGAGGCAGTTCACCATTCTTAACTTCAATGATTTGATAGCATCTGCTATTCCCATGACACCTGAGGATCCTTCATTTTGGGACTGTTTTTGCTTCACAGAAGAAATTCTAATACGAAATGGTACCAAGTCATGATAGATCCCCTGAATAAAGAAAAGAAAAGGGGGCAGTCTTCTGTGTTCACTATTTAAAATGCTGGATGTGGTCAAATTTTATTTATCAAAACATTTTAAAGACCCAACCAAATGCTTTTTAAGAGCAGATTTCCAGTTCAGTGGCTCCTTCAAATTTGTTACTTCTTAATGTCCAGAATTATAATTGATAGAAATGATGATAGAATCTTCCAATGATAAATGTGCTTTATAGAAAGAAAAAAGTGTAAACTTGCTCTACCCTAAGACTTGAGTTACCATTCCATTAATTTCTCTTGCAAATGAATCCATATTAATGTTTTAAAAATGAGATCATGTGTTTTGTAACTTTAAGAAAAAATCTGCTCTTCGTAGCTATTCTTGTTGCATAGACTTAGTGGTTCTAAGATATACTGTCTTTTATGATGTCTTTGTGGCACATAGTGTAAGGTTTAAATTGTTATTAGCATTACAATACTCATTTTGCCTTAGGTGCAGTAACACAAACTGCTTCTGGAGTTTCCAGGTCTATATCTTTATAAAGTTGTGACATTTGTTTTATCAGTGTTGAATAAACCCCCAAGATTCCACCACCTGAGATGTCTGACATTTTTTTTTTAACCACTGTTAAAAATAGATTATTGAAAGGAAAGCTAAGCCTGACATGGGAGAAATTTGTTGAGGTAACACTACTGGGCTTGAGGGAAATGTACCATAGTGTACTCATTTCCCAGTTAGCAGTTTTAATTATATCATTAGTATAAGCAATAGTACAGTGAAAACTGGCATTTTGAGAGACATGCTTAATTGTATCTTGCAGATTTTAGAAATGAAATGACTGGTTCAAAGGGCATTGCTCTTGAAAAACTGAAGTTTATACTTCTGTTAGTCGTGTGTGAAACCACCATCCCTGGTCAACTGTAGGTTTTGCTTCGCTTTTATCTGAAGATTGGATGGCATTTTTGTTCGTTCTTTCTTTTGGTCTGTTTAACTGAAAGTGAGAACATATTTCAAGTGTGCATTTCTTTCATTACAAATGAGGTTAATATTGCCATTGTTACTAGTTATTTGTGTTTCCTTTCTAAGAACCTCTTGTTCATCTTACTCGTTTTTAATTACTAAATAGACTTAAAATGTGAACAATTAAGATGACAAACCGAGAGAATCTGCTATATGGTTCTAATGCATGTCTTCAGGAAGTCTTATTATTTAATATTAAAAAGTAGAATAATGTCATTGTTTTTATTACTAACATTAAGAATTGTGCATAAGTTGTATGAACAGTGAAAGTGTTTTATATATTATCTTATTAAGCGTGCTTAATTTTACAAACAGAAAATCTTGTAGCATTTCTAATAGGTAAAGCATTGTTATCTCCTGCCTAAGTTTAATACTGAATGAAAACTCATGTCTTATTATAATAAAATGGTAATTATGGGATTATAGGGGCTTGGCAGTGTGCCACTTGGCCAGATACACAACTACCCTCTGTAACTATGTAGCTAGTGTCAGTTTAATCTATCCTAAATAATGGTTCTTTAACAAATGGATTTATTGTCTGGTCGTTTTGTCTTCTGTGACTGGAGCAGCAGAATTGTGGGGATCTCCTTCCAGTTAGGCTGAGGAGTGTTTGCCTCTCCTCTGTTCTCTTTCCTTTTACTGGTATGTCTTTCACGTACTCCTTTCTGTGGTGCATAACCTCAGTTAAATCTTAATTACAGAGGGGCACTGGCCAGAGTTTTGTTTTGAGATTTGCAAGAAAAAGGGAAAGTCCCTTGAACAAAGTGATATGAGTTTAATTGTTTTCATAACTAATTTACCCTACCTTACTGGTTGACAATGTTAATTTCTATTTTTTTCCAAGTATTTGGTATTACCAAATAGTGAATTTGGTTCTGGCCTGGAAATCAGTGCTGGTTCATATCCATGTTTCTTTGACCCAAAACCAATGTTTACATTGTACCATTATACTCAGTGTATGGTGGGATGAGTCTTTATTAATAACATCTTACACAGGAATTATTTGGGTTGATTTAAGGTTTGTCTGTCCTTTGCAGTTTTATACATTTGGATACATTATTATCAAAATTCTATTACTAGGGATTTAAAAATCTGTTAAAGAATTAGGTTTATATAATTTTATAGACTCAGTAGTTGAAATGTTCCATCTAAATGTTTTATAATCCGATGAAAGTACATATAGCTATGCTAAAAAAATCTCTTAAAGCAATTAATCTACTTACATCTTTAAATAAGAAGACATGGAAACAACTAATGAAGTTCATTGGGGCAAGGGAAATAAATATATAACGATGGAATTTGTCAGTTCAGTTTATCAGCTAAATGTTAGATTACTGTTTATCTTAACCCAGGATCATTTATGGTAGAGTATCAGTCTTCTAGCCTAAGTCCTTTACATATATCAGGTTATTTAGTCATTGAAGGTTTATGAAGTAGGTTCTGTTACTCCTGTTATAACCATGGGGAAATAAAGTACTGAGATGGAGAACAGGGTTATTTCTGTGATAAATACCATGACCAAAAGCAACTTGGTAAGGAAAGGGTTTACATAGGTTCTAATTCCACATAACAGTTCATCAAAAATAGTGAGGGAAGAACTTAAGCAGGACAAGAACCTAGAAGCAAGATCTGATGGAGAGGCCATAGAGGGCTGCTACTTAAGCTTGGGTTTGTTTTGTTGCTGTTTTGAGGAATTTATGCCTACTAGCCCTACAATGGGCTGGGTCCTCCCACATCAATCACTAAATAAGAAAATTCCCTACAGGCTTGCCTTCAGCCTGAACTTAATGGAGACATCTCAATTTAGGTTCCCTCTGATGGCTCAAGCTTGACAAAACACAGTACATCCATTGAGTAGTGGGGTAGATTTATTTAGATTTGTGCAGCATAAAGCCAGACCCAAATGGAGCTATTGTAGTAAGCTTAGTGTTGTGTTGGTAAATATTGAACAACCAAGAACACTGGGGCAGGCATGGTAGAATCCAGAAGACTTACGGCACATACTGCCCTATTTACTTCAGATTGTGTTTTATATTTATTTGAGGAGTAAAGATCTGTTCCTCCTCTTGATTCCTTCTAGTTTCATGACTGACATACTGATACACATTTTTTTTTATTTTTTGACAATTTTATGCATATGTGCAAGGTATTGTAATCATATTCACCTTCCATCAGCTAATAACCCCTTCTAAACCAGTCATCCTCCTATTTTGTGTTTATAACTTAGTGTAACTTTTGTCTGTGGATCATGATATAGAACTCTAAGCTCCTTCTCCAGCACCATGTCTGCCTGCTTGTTGTCATGCTTCTTGCCTTCATAGACTAAACCTCTGAAACTAAACCAGCCCCAGATTAAATGTTTTCCTTTCTAAGAGTTGCTGTGGTCATGGTGTCTCTTCACAGCAATAGAAACACTAACTTTTAAGAATGACTCCCAACTGTTCCACATGCTACAATTCCATTGTGCAAGTTCCATTGTGCCAGGCAAGGTGTACCATCTGGTATACAAGTAATGTAGCTTGATTAGGGAGTAATAAACAACTTTCTAATTGCATTTGAGGCCTAGGTCCCGTGAATAATTTCACGCCTGATACTGGAAAAAACTGACTGGTAAGATCCTAGTTAAGATTTTGTCTGGTGGTCCGGTCTAGTGGTGAGAGTGGGGTGTTGAAATATCCCACTATTAGTTTGTGAGGTTTTATGTGAGCTTTTAGTTTCAGTAGCTTTTCTTTAAGAATGAGTGTGCCTTTGTATTTGGGTTGTAGATATTCAAAGTTTATACTTTGTGCTGATGTATTTCTCCTGTGATGAATACAAAATGACTGTCTTCCTCTCTTTTGATTGCTTTTGGTTGAAGTTTAACTTGTTACATATTAGGATAGCTATACCTGCTTGCTTCTTGAGTCCATTTGATTGGAAGATCTTTTCCCAACCCTTTACCCTGAGTAATGTCTGTCTTTGAAGCTTACATGTATTTCTTGTATGCAGCAGAAAGATGAATTCTGTCTTCATATTCATTCTGTTAGATTGTGACTTTTTATAGGCGAATTAAGACTACTATTGTTGAGGGAAAGTAAGGACCAGTTATTGCTAATTATTGTTTGTTTTAGATTTGTTGTTGTAGGTGGTATTGTGAATATATTTGCCCTGCTTTATCCTTTGGGTCCTGGTGAAATGTGATTATCTATTGCCTATTTCTTTGTGAGTGGGGTTTACTTCCTTGGGTTGGAATTTTCCTTCTGGAACTTTCTGTAGGGCTGGATTTATAGATATGTATTATGAAGATCTTTATTCTGTGTGTTAGGTGTTTTGATTATTATATGTTGAGGGGTCTTTTTTCTTTGGTCCAGTCTATTTGGTGTTCGATATGCTTCTTGTACTTTCATAGGCATGCCCTTCTTCAGATTGGGAATGTTGTCTTCAGTGATTTTTGTAGAATATGTTTTCTGCACCTTTGAGCTGGGCTGCTTCTCCTTCTTATATGCCTATTATTCATCGGTTTGGTCTTTTCATGGTATCTCACATTCCTGGATGTTTTGTGTTAAAGATTTGTTGGATTTAAGTTTTTCTTTGGTCAATGAATCTATTTCCTTGAGTTTATCTTCAGCACCTGAGATTCTCTCTTCCATTTCTTGTATTCTGTTGGTTATGCTTGCATTTCCCTCAGATTGCGTTTTCTTTATTGTCTCTAATTCAGTTTTCAAGTCTTGAACTATTTCCTTCACTTGTTTGAGTTTTTTTTTTTTTTTTTTTTTTTTTTTTTTCTTTCCTTGGCTTTCCTTACTTTATTTAAGAAATTTGTTCGTTTCTTCCAATTTCTTTGTTTGTATTTCCTTCCATTTCTTTAAGATATTTTCTCATCGTGTTTGAGTGCCTCTGTCATTTTTATGAAGTTATTTTTTAAGTTGCTCTCTTCTGCTTCTGCTTTGGTGTGTTCAGGTCTACTTGGTGTAAAGTTCCTAGATTCCAGTGTTGTCATGCTTGTCTTTCTTTATTGGGTGTTTTCTTGTATTGCGGTCTTCCCATCGCTTCTTCCAGTGGGTGCAGGTGGAGTCTCTCTCTTTATTCTCCTGGTGGGCATAGGTGGGTCAGGAGTTTGATGTCTAAGTCTGGATGATTCAAGCTCTCTGGGAGGTCTCTCCTCTGGCAGAGGCTGGTGATGGGGGTCAAAGATCAGGCAGGTGGGGACTCAGGGTGGTCTTGTGTGGATAGGTGAGTCCATTGTGCTCAGAGCAGATCCAGGAAGTTCCCCAGAGGTGGAGGGGTTGATAAACCTGCTCTCTGGGTCAGTGCTTAACCAGAGCAGTGGAGCAGTGGCCTCAGTAAGACACAGGGTGGGGGGAGGGCCGGTCACAGCAACTCTTACAAACGAAACATTTCATTGGGGCTGACTTACACATCATAGGTTTATCCATTGTCATTGGGGGAAGATGGTGGCACAAAGACATATCTGGAGATGTAACTAAGAGTTCTACATCTGGAACTGGAGACAGCAGGAGGAGACTGAAGACATTGGGCTTAACTTGAACATCTGAAATCTCAAAGCCTGCTCCCAGTGACACACTTCCTCCAACAAGG